AAATTTCCCCTCCCTTTCCAACAATCCTCCCACCTCTACCTTCTCATTCTCTCAGTATCCCAACCCCCATCCCTAGCCACATCAGCAGCTCTGGAGAGTCACCAGAAAATGTCAGCTGCCCTCTGATGGTGTCACCCTCCACTCTGGTGGTCAGGTATGGCAGGAATAGCTGGTGATTATTTCAGGGTTGTGTGGTGGCTCAGTGGTTAAAGGGCCAGCTCTCCAAATAACATTTTCTCATGTTTCTTTCTTACCTTCCTTTCAAAAGAATATAGAAAATGAGGAGATTTATACTCTTGTAGAAACATGACATGCAGTGTGTGAACCAAAGTAATGAGGTGTAAGGGCTCTTGAGCATTATGTAGCAGTAACAGAAGTTGTGGGCATGTTACTGTGAGAGAACTGGACTCCCTACAGGGGCATAAATATCTGGTTCACCTTTTTCCCAACCATCTTCTACTCCGACAATGGTCTATACTTGTTTAGCATTTCATCCCAGTTTAGCTCTCTCTTTTTCTTTGTATTACCCCTGACCTGTTTTTTGTTACCCATACACCCCCCATCCCCGGTTCTGTGTAAATTAGTTACAACTAATTGTGTGTAAACTCTCCTGTCACAGGTTTGGGGATCCAGTAACGGCTAACTGCTCTGTACAAAGGAAGGGGTTTCCTCTTCTCGGTTGGGAAGTCTCACTGGTGAGAGAATCAATGCTCTCTAATATAGGACATGAAAACACTATTAGCCTAAAGAGTAACTTAACACCACCCAAATCTTGTCTCCCTATCAATCTCCCGCTCCATCTTAGCCTCACTTGTGAACAAGATCCTGAGTTATTTCAACTCCTTCTCTTGGGGCAGCAACTCACTCCCAACCTAACAGAAGCAATCCACCGTTATCCAGCAGAGTACCATGGCCTCAGATCTAGAGGTGCTAACTTTCATCTGAACCACTTCAGACTCTGCTGCACACTACACGGCCGTGCCCTAATGAAGCCAGCAGAGCTCTCATCTGCAAAAGATGTTATCTGAGGTCACCATAACAAACCCTCTCCACTCCTCGGCTGCTTTTGAGATTCTGTCCATGAAAATCACAAACATAATCAGTGAAGCCCAACCCTACAGAGAATGTGTTAGATGTCAAATCCAAAACAGAGACACAGCTCACAGCACTATCCTGGTTATACAAGGACAGGATGGCACATAACAGCACAAGCACCACATACTTCTGCGACAGCCCCCACGAGACATTTCATTTATTTATTTATAGAATTTATTTCAAGGCTACTGTATTGGATTACACTGTACAGCTGTACATAATAAACTACTACCACCCAGAGAATAGTCTTCACAGACTCTTAACAGCTTTGTGATCTTTTGCACCTCTAGGCACCTCCCCAAGCCACGGAGAATCTCTATGTGGTCTGGAGTGTGGACAGGATGACTGAGTGGAGCATCAAACCTATGTGCTATGCATTAACTGAAAAGGAAGGGCAGTGCGACATTGGTCTCCCTGTAATAGTCTACAGTTAGTTAAAGTTCTTGTCTTTCAGACACATTAGAAAATGCATGCAAGTCTTTTCAATGCAATTTAGCAGTTGATCTGTCTCCACAGAGCCTCCAGATAATGTGTCCATCAGCTTTGTTAATGACTCTGGGCCGATGTTGGAGGGTCATCAGTACACTCTGCAGTGTACAGTCCAGGATGTTGCTCCTGTTGAAAACCTCACCGTGACCTTCTACAGAGGACAGACAGCACTGGGTCAACTGCAGTCCAACAACACAGAGAAGACACCAGTGAATGAGACCTTCACTTTAAACATCATCCCCAGTAATGATGATAATGGAGTCCAGTACTGGTGTGAAGCCACGCTAGAACTGGGACCTGAAGGACCTCAGCATCCTCCAGTGGTGATGTCACAAAATCTCACTGCCACAGTCCTGTGTGAGTGGAACCGCTAACATTTTTAACCCCTGTCAATTCCCACTCTTTATCTTTATTGGGTCTATACATTTTCAAAATCTCTCTTTCCTATTCTCAGTATCCCACTTCATCTCACCCATTTCCTTATGTAAAACATGTCAACTGTACTTTTCTTTCCATCTTTTCCTCCTCTCTCTCACACTGACCTCTTCTTTCAGTTGGTCCACAGCTTGTTTGTCCTACAAAATTAAAGGTGAGAGAGGGAGAGAGCCTCAACTGTGAGGTGAGAGGAAACCCTCAACCATTCATCACTTGGTTCAGAGATGGGCAGGCGGTTGCCCTGCCCACTCACTCAAGGAGAAAGCATGCGGGGATATACACAGTCTTAGCAAAAGGACTTCTTGGACAGAAAAACTTTACAGTGGAGGTGGACGTCCTTGCTGGCAGTGGTAGGTTTCTGTCATCTGCATCATTATAAAATTAATGTTTAACCGCGACTTGAGACGTTATTCCTGAGAAATGTTGCTTTAGATTGTTATATGATCTTAAAGTTATCCTCTATTAGTAAAATTAATTTGTCTCCTTCTCTTTTTAGGAACTGCAAATAGCTGTAATAGACATGTCCTCTTGGCGGTCTTGCTTATTAAGATGATTAACTGACTATAAAAACTCAAAAGGACCCAACATGATCAAATTCTTCTTTCAGTGCCGTCTGGATGAACTGCTACTACTGTGAGAAATGTAGGTCAGAGATGACTCGATTGGTTGCTCTCCTCGTTTGCTGAAATTAATCAGTTTTGCATTAGTGTCTTGTGCACCTTCATTTTAAAAACAATGGGTTCTCATTAGAGAGCTTCTGCCCAGGTACATTTTCTTATGTGTTCTTATGTATTAAACTGAAGTCTCCATGTAATCTGCACAATGGTAAATGTCCATCTTTCAGAAGAAGAGTTGCTCTACAGTTAGAAATTAAGTCTAGTACAACTTACTCATCAATAATCACTGTCAAGCATGCTTTCTCCCTTGCTTTTTTCCTTTTAAAGGAGGATGTTTATGAAGTGTCTGAACCCTTTGCTGAACAATGTAACACTGTTTTCCTGTGTATGCGTTACATTTTCTGTAGTGTTAAGAGCTACCCAAGTGTGGGGTCTACATACCATTGCAAAGCACCAGGTCTTCTTTAAGGTTATGTCCCATCTGCTAAGCATCAAAATGCTGAACTATCTTGTGTCCAACAGCAGTACTTTCAGTTTGGTTGTAAGTGTGAAACTGGTAAAGTGCAAGAGTAAAACTTTCCAGTTCTGCTGGCCAGAGTTCATGCTGAAACCAAAACATCCTTCATTTACAGTAGGAAGTAGTGCTTCTGTTATGAAGGACAAAAGGTAGACAAATCTCAGTGACAGCTGAGTGACCAACTCTTAAACATTTTGTTTGAAAATGTATGGCCACTTTCACTGTACATCACCAGAAAAATGTTAAACGTTTTGGTGTAGTGAAATAAACTTTAACCTAATTAAGCTAAAAAAAAATGGTTACACAACATGTAAGCTCTTTATTATTTATTAATTCAAAGTAAATCATTCACATTTCAAACAAAGCTTTTTAAATACAGGTAAGTTAAAGAGTCATTATCAAAGGTGATTCTCTGAGTAGATGGCAGGTTTCTCACAAGAAGGTCACTTCTCTGCTCAGTGGTAAAAGTGCCACCTTTCACATGTCAAAACTACAATTATTACTCCCTTTAGTTTCTTACCATCTCAGATGACATACTCAAAGACACGATAACAGAAAGCATGACAAAACATCTTCAGCGAGAACCACATCTTGTGACAGTAGACAAAGAGTCAGATTGCTATTTGCTTATTAACTTTTGCAGAGTAGCTCATATCCACTGCTGATTTTGCAGTCAACTCCTGTGTTTGTTGGACTGGACACAATGATTGTATCTCCAAAAGAAACTGCTCCCATCTAGAAAGAAAGACTCCCATCATTTCCATCCACTGGACAAATTGTTTGGGCAATATCACTGATCATACAAATGGGTTATTGGCATTGAAGCAAATTAATAGATTCTGCAAGGCATCTTGTGGCCAGGGTCTGAACATTTCTACTGCAACTCGATTTTTTGTCAACGATTTCTTTCATCTAGATAGAACACGCGTACACACAGTCTACTGATACTTGGCAGTAGAAATATACAATATATCATGTCAACTTAATCTTTGACTACTCCTAATTTAGGAATTGCTTTAAAAAAACAAAAGGAAAACATATCTGCTATGGTGGCAAGCATTTGGTATTATAATATCAGGGACATATATATCATCACCAAATATGGATGATTATAGTCTTTTTTTTTAACAGCTAAAATAACCTAATTTGCATCTAAAAAAATGATTCAAGTCTACAAAACAACCTTTGGGCTGTTCTTTGGCAAAAATAGTATTGTTTGGTGGTTGTTTCATTATGTATTAAAAAGGATTATTGGTGTTCCTTTAATTGCTTGTAATAAAACCATGCATCTGACAATTAATTTATATATATATGACAATAGTGACAAGAAAATTAAGATCCACTTAATAGCTTTTTTTACTGAACTTTCAACCACATCTCATGGTCTTCATCAGCAGATGTAGGTGTCATGGAAAACTAGTAAGTGAACCTTGAGTTAAGGTTATTTTGTCACACTGAGGTTGAGTTTGAAAGCTGTGGGCATTCAACAGGCAGGGAGTCTAACATGCTATTTGTTTCATTATAGTGAATAAGTTCTTGCTTGACTCATCGTAGGGACTAAAAGTCAGGATATCTGCTGCTTTGATAGACACATTTATCACAACTTTGTAGAAGTGTCATACTAAATCACCGGGGTACCTTTTTAAATACCCTGACAAACTCCGTAAATAATCAAAAAGGTCACCCACAGTCGTAACTAAAATGAACAGAACTTACTGTGTGTAAATTTGCATTGGGAGTTATTGTATAGTAATGTCAGCATCCTCAGCGATGATCTGCACCTGGCTAGCATCCATGTGCCTGGCGAAGTCGCCGACCTGCAGCAGCTGAGGAAAAACAACCTGACTCACCCCGCTCACAGGGAAACCGACTGGGCTGGACTGAGGAGGCGGAGGTGGAAAGGGAGGACTTTTGGTGTCAACCCCAAGGCTCCAGTGCTGAACTGAACGTTTGTATTTTACAACAGCTGCTGCTAGGAGCTCCTGGGAAACTGATTGAGGTTGCTCCTGAGCCAGCGCTTGATCAGCAAGGAGATCCAGAAGGGAAGGAGTCGGAGCAGCCTCCACCTTTTTCAGTGCAGCAACTTCCTTCTTAACAGCACCAAGTGACACAGAATTGGAGACATTTGATCCCTCAATAAAGATATCATCTGCTTCCTGGGTCAGATCTATCAGTGGTGGAGATCCCTGGGAATTGCTGCAGCCATCTGATGTAGTGGGAGGACCATTGATAGGTGGCTGCTGCTGCTGCTTCTTCTCAGGCCTAGCCCTCTTTACTCTGAGTGCACATGTGAAACAACAAATTAGTGATTAGACATCTTACAAAAAAAAAAAAAACGACATCTCAAAGTTCAACTCTATAGTACTCACGGTAATGACTTAAAATGTAAAATGTTCCTGCTCTCCCTCATCAGCACCCTGGAAAAACAAGTGTTGAGAAAGGGCATGTCTGCATATACAGTGTTAAGTACTTAAAAACCCTGATTTGAATACTTTATGACTGAAGGTGTGAATTCACACCAGTGTCGCATACCTAGACTGCATCCACCCTTTTGGCCAAAGCGGTTTGACCTCATTGTCTAACAAGTTCTTAAGGTACTCCTCCATCTCCTGACTCCAGTCCCTTTCCGTTTTCTGTCTCTCCATTTTCACCATTAACACATGGCTCAAACATTCCCTGTATGAAAGAAAATGTGATTGTCTTATCACGTGATAGAGTGAAGTTTGAGATTTCAAACGATCTTTATTATGTCTGACCTGATCTCGTCATTCCATTTGAACAACTTCTTAGGACCTCCTCGTTTCCCACCTTTCTCCTCCACATTGTCCTCTGGGCCAATATTTACCTTCTGTTTGCCTTCTTTGTCCTCCTCTGTTGCCCTGACATGAACATTAGCCGATTTCAAGATGGGAGAGGAGAAAACCATTTTGAATACCAGTCCTACTCAAAAAAGGAATACATGTACTGCATCTAATTATGTATACTGTACAGCCATCTTTGGATGTTAGCTGTACACAAATGTTTGTTCATACAAATGTTATGCTGTCAAAAAGGCCAACTAATGATATTTATGATGCCATCGCAACACTGTATGAGAAAGGAAGTATTATAATGTATCTAGGAAAAGAAATACACCTGCTTCAGGGTTAGAATTGAAGGGTTTGTTTTGAAAAGGAATCTCAGCAGACAGATTTCACATGCAATACATTCAGTGCCAGATGCCACTTTTTGCTCATCCTCGTGGTATATTTTCCTGTTACGTATGGTTTTGACATTATCAGCATTTTGAAATAAAGTTTCCATACCTTTAATTTCATGAAGACTTCTGATATCTTATCAAATAACATTTTTACAACAACAATCCAATGTTCATTATTTTTTTAAGTAATCTTTTTCCAAACACTGATGAACTCACTTTGAAGTCTTCACTTGTGAGTATGTTTGGCAGTTTTCATGGAAACTTGCAATCTGCTCGGGCATGGCTTTGCCGATGGCTTCTTTAAGTTTGTGCATGGGATTCTCTGCATCAGGGGGTTCCTCCTGGTTAGTGTCAAATTCAAGAAGTGAATCACATGCACAAATAAAAACTTGATCTGTAATAAGAACATAATTCTAACACACTCACCATGTGTGTGTGTAACAGTTTCTTTACACGTTTGAGGAGTGTGTCTCTGCTGCAGGGCAGGAAAGATGACAGGTGTGTGTACACCTTGGAGCGCAACTGACCACCCTGTCCCCGACACTGCAACTCAATACTAGATGAAGACACAATGAGAACTTAACTATGCACTAACATACTGATCAATAACACAGCTAAAGCCAGGAACACAAAGCTTTATGATTTAAAAGCTGAACAGATATGGTCAGCTCAGAAAAGGTTGTCCAGAAATCAGTACTGGTAGTTTTATCCACCTACTAACTGCTTGTCAAGGTGACCTTAAAAAGTATCAGACTACTCGGCACCTTGCATGGCAGTATCACAGCCATTAGTGTTATCAATGTACAGTATGTGTAGTATGATAAATGTGAGATGCTTTACACGCTCGCACGTTGAAGGCACTATAGCCTACATGTAGTCCATTTACCATGATGATTCACTTTCATGACTGCAGAGAATCTGCATTAGTCTGCAAAAACATAATGGCAAACTACCATGGACAATCAGCACACACAATCCTTCAAGTGGGCATCAATTTAGGATTTTTAGTCACCTAGCACATGTGGAATTAAACAATGCAGCATTTTTTTTGTAAGTTTGAGGAAAGAAATGTAGGCAAAAAATAATTGTTAGGCCTCAAGGATTCACATATTTTGGTGGGAAACAGTTGTTTTTGCCCCCATTCATCATGAGCTGAACTCAAAGATCTAATACTTTCTCCATGTACACAAAAGGCCTATTTCTCTCAAATATTGTTCACAAATCTATCAAAATCTGTGTTAGTGAGCACTTCTCCTTTGCCGAGATAATCCATCCACCTCACAGGTGTGGCATATCAAGATGCTATCCACTATGCGCCTGGAATGAGATAATAGTTGTCAAAATGCAACAGAACTTGCTTTGTCTGCATTTGTAGATAACTCACTCAAGCAGGATCGAGTTGATTTCTGGTGTGAAGAACTTGAGCTTTGACTCCCCCTCTGAGGTCTTGGCAGCCTGAAAGATTTGTGTAAGTAATCTGTATGTGTGTTACACTTGTCCATTTACAACTGATGCCATTCACAAGTGTTAAGTCTTTCAACACATGCACACATAGACAACTTCACTTCAGCATATACAAATAACTAAAATTTTAAACTTACCATCATGAGTTTTCGAATGCTGTCTTCCAGTCCTGGGGGAAGTCCCTCTGGCAGTGGAGGTGATGTAGAACTGGTTTGTGACAAGAGCTGGATTTGTTCTGAATGAGGCTTCAGCTGCAAGTTGGTCTTTGTAATTGGAGGTTGGGCTTGAGTCTGGTCATCTGTTTTGGGTGGGAAAACAGTGGTAGATCGGGGGAGCAATTTTGGTGATGAAGTCTCTTCACTGACGTCTAATAAAGAGTCCAAATCAATATCAAAATCCACAGTGTTGGCTGCTTGGATGAGAGCGTGGTCATTGGTTGATCCAATTAAACTGAGGAGAGGGTCGGTCAATCCTGAGCCTCCGCCCCCGGCTGCATCTGCAGGGCAGAGAGGGATTTTGGGTGCACCCATGATTGCAGCTGCTTCCTGATTGGCTCTCTTCATCTTCCGTCGTTCCTTCTCCTTCTCCCTTTGAAACTTTTTCAACATGCTGGTGACACTTAATGTGCCAACAGCCTTTTTCTTCTTTTTCTTCTTCATCTCGTCTTCGTGTCTGATTTCAGACAAAGTGCAACAAGATGAACACATTATGATTGTCAGAGAATTCATTAAATTAAATGTTCTAGCATCAGTGTCAAACTGGCTCTAAACAAGAGGTTAAATTGCTTTTGTCAGCCTCACCTCGATTTTAGATCCGCATTGCTTTCCATCTCTCCATCTTCTCTGCATGGCTTTTTCTTTGGCTTATTCTGTTCACCATTGAGTTTACGTTTCTAAAAATATATGGTTGACTGTGTTGTTATCTAATACAGTTCAGAAGTGTAATCATTTTTTAGAGACACTGGTTCAAAAAAAAAAACAACTATTTTTGCATTCAATCACTTCAGAAACAGCACTGAAAAATGTTCTTAAATTGAAAATCACTTCCCTATGATTGAAAAAACATCCATTACTATGCTTTGCAGGCTTCTTAGATGCACCACTTACTTTTGAGGGCGCAAGTGTTTTCTCTTCTGCAGTGAGGTCCTCTGTGTCAGAAGCCTGGCGGAACTGCAGCATGCCTGAATTTACATAGAAGCCACCAAATTTTGTTGTGATGGAGGCTGGAACAAATTCATCATACTGCAAAGACCAACCAGAAGCAATATTATAATATGAATACAGAGTTTATCAATTACAAAGTAGTTAAATAAACCAAAGAAAGGGTTAAGAAAGATTGATGCCTTTAAATGTCAAAATTGGGAACAGCTTTGAGAGCAAAGAGAAACATGACATTACTGAGAAGAGAAAATTTTGTCAGACCCTTTTCTTGGAGCATCATCTGTTTTAATTTTGACACTTGATGACCACAGTGAACTGCCCAAGCAACAAGTCAAAAATGACCAGTAAAAACCAAGGCCAGCCTATTCAGTGTATCAAAATTGTGTCATTGCACAACTTAACGGGTCTTGACATAAGAAATACACATACATATGAATTGCTAACAATTCTGAGGAAATTCAAAGGTGTGGCTCAACACTGACTCACAGCCTCAGAGTTGTCAATGAAAGAATCCTCTTCATCATAGCCGTATCCAATATCGATCAAGTCCTGAATGCGATCCTTTTTTTTCTTAGGTTTGCCACCCTGCAACGAGATGCAAATAGAACAAATATTTCCTATCGCTATTTTGATGAAAAAGTTTGATTCTAATCAAATATATATCAATTTCAAAAAGAAGCAGGACACCAGTCCTCATTTAACTAAAAAGGGCCCCTGCCACCATCTGTTTTGCAAAAAAAAAAAAAAGCTACTCACATATTTTTCCTCCAACTTCCTGGCAATAGCAACGGCCTCATCATTTGCTCTCTTTTCTTCCTCTTTAAATCTGCTCAGTGGGACTTCATCTTTTGTGTGGTTGATCTGAAATGTTAAATGTAAGTCATAACAATAATACATTTTACAAAAAAACAAAACACAGTTCTGTGTCCAGCTTTTAGCCTAAGACCTTACGATGTTTGTGAATTTCACATTCTCAATTGTTATCCTTCAGTTCCAGGATTGGGCTCCCGGGGCTGGAGTATCTCCCAGAATGCACAGTGCACAGCAAAGCAGCAGGGACAGGTTGTCAGTTTGTCACAGGACTTAGAAAGTTGACCAATCGTTGATTTAGGGTCTCCAGTGGTTGTTATTTGCATATTTGTTAGAGGAAAAGGCATCTGGTAGAAACCAACACTAAATCCTCACAGTAAAAGCCCAATAACCTGGAGTGAGTAAAACTTCAGTGTTACTCGTCCCAACAGGGTAGTAATTGGCTTGGAAAGAAAGCAAACCATATGGGTATTTGAATTTTATGATCTAGAAGTAAAAAGTAAGTTGCTAAGAGATTCTCTGCATTTTAATTTGGATAGATTTTGAAGTTGTGAAGTAGGCTACTTGAAAATATTAATATGGTCATTAAAAGGATGTGTTTATTTTAAAGTTTTGAAACAGTTAAATAAAAAAAATAAAAAAATAAAAAAAAGAGGTTAACTTATCCAATCAGATTTTTAAAAGGTCTAAAACAGCATATGGCATAAGTACCAACTGGTAGGTCTCATATTTCTTTTAATCACTCAAAGTTAAATAATGCCAAACAGCAACCACAACTTTTGTCTTAAAATGTTACAAGTAAGGCCCTATTACTTTTTCATTATGATCAATCATGATGTGAAATGCACATAGGCCTAATGAGGAGCTGTAACCCCCAATTTTTGGTAAATTATGACAAAAATGGACAGGCAGCCTATTTTCTCTTAATTGACAAAAGTCATGACCCCTTTTAACAACTTTCTTATACTTAGCCTATATTAACAAGTTAGAGGTTGTTTGTTCTGTTTTAAAGCCGACAACAACTGCAGGATATTAAGATTGAAGTCGCGGTTCGTCAGTGACCTCAGTTTTCTCAGGAGAAGTCAGGATGAAATCCCACCTTGTTGTCGTCAACGAGCTGGCTGTAGCTGAACTCTGGGAAGCTCCTCTCATCAGGCTCAAATAACGTGAGCACCAGCCGGACTGTGTCGGTGTCCGCGGGTCGGTCTGAGCAGGTTTCTTTCTCCTGCTTAACAACTGTCGGAGACTTTTGGGCCGAAGCCAGCTTGTCTGAGGATGGAGGTGCATCAAAGGACAAAGTGGTCAACTGAACTCTCCGTGATTCCGCCATCACAGCCGATAACACAAACAGATCTCTGCGGTCTGGTGGCGTGAAGGGTTTCATTAAGTACAAATGCACGCAGGTGTGATCCTTGTGCACGTGCTCAGCTGTGTCAACTCTGCGTTTACTGGCAACCAATCCCCTTCAAAACAGCGTGGAATATTTATTTATTTTTCTTTATTGCTGTCACATGAGCGAAACGTAAGATAGGAATAGCCTACATTTTAGGCTTGACTGCTGGACTAGGCTACTTCAATAAAATATTTACCTGCCCATCTGCCTATCACTGTGATAGGCCTAATGACAATTTAAATGACTCAAAGAAAGAATTTTAATTAATTAATTTAATTTTAATTTTAACTTAGCCTACCTAACTAAAGGAATAATTTGATATTTTGGACCAATGTCTTAACACTAGGAATATTTGCTCTCTGATGGACAGTTGACAAGTAGGCACCAAGTTTAGAAACAGCTGGCCTGTGAAACTGTATCAAACTCCACCTACATAATCTGCTCTAAACTCACTAATAATTTTTGGCTAAAGGCAAAATCTCTCTGTTTAATCAGTAGATACAAAAACCTGCATAGGCTAGGCCCACTGTGTCGGGCTTTTTCTTGCTGCAGAAACGTCTTTGAGAATCTGGTTACCTGGCAACTGCTCACACAACCATAGGTGTCATTTCCTCACCACTTTCCTGAAATGGCTGATTAATCCCCACCACTTTTTGAAAGCATTTGTTAAAAATGTTCTGAAAAATAGCTTGCACCAACAAATGTTAACTAACAAATGAAAAGGCTTTGAGGAAGGCTTATTTGAACAATAAGAAAACATGCAATGCAATTTAAATATAGAAGAAACAATTGTCCAAAAGTGGGCTAACTTAAGCTATAAAAAACCCAAAAGCAGTTGATTACAGCATTATATTCTCATAGGTTTTATATTCATGAATTGTCACCTGACCTGTTTCCCTTTAGATAAATAAATATCCACCATTTCCACCATAAATTGGAGCAGAAAATGTCTCCAGAATGCAGGAAATTAAGTGTTTAATGCTCCAATTTTCTGGAGGAGGACCTCCAGACCCCCTCTGATATCCTATATTTCTGCATTTCCTACATCTTCAAAATAGTCAATAAAATCTTCATGTCTTGTTCTCATGCATCGTCACATCTCGTGACGCTCCTAATGTGAGCCCTTATGTCCCCACCACTTTTCAACACAAAGCAACGCCCTGAAAATGGGAGCTATGTACCAAAAGTGCTACATTCCCTTTGTCATAGGACCCTGGGAACATATGGATGACACCTTACTAATATTACACATGGTTCATGCGTGAACTAAACAAAGAGATATAATGTGTTAGGCCTGCTTAAAGAACGTTAGATGGGGGATGTTGTTACCCTTGGACAGACTCAGACTAGTTGTTTCCAGCTGTTGCCAGTCTTTGTGCGTAGCTAAGCTAAGCTGGCTGCTGGGCCAGCTAGCCTAATTTAAATAAACTACTGCTTCATTTTTAAGCAATCTTGACAGAGAGGCTTGATTTTATAATCAAGCTTAGGCCTTACACTCAGTCAGAATATGCCCAACTATTCCTTTAAACAGTATAGGCTATCTGCGCTGCGCAGTGTCTAATTCTGAGATTCAGATTAAAAAAACAAACATTTGAGATTAGCGTTAGATACACTCCCTGATTTTGTTGTACAAGTTTATTAAATAGTATAAACCACTTGAGATGAACCATCTCGTTTTCGAGGAGATCCTAGTATACAATACAAAAACAAGATACAAATTTAAACACATTACAATTATAAGAAGGGCAAAACAAAACAACAATCATCAACAGTTTAACAAACACACTACAACAAGAAAAACTCAGAAACATCAAAAAAATAAGTAGGTGAACCGCTTGATGGCCACAAAAAGGCTGTGAACAAATACTTGCCCAGCAAAAACATAATAAAGAAAAAGCCTATTGAATATCTAATGAATTGCAAATTATATATTTTCCATCTGAAAATGAACAGTTTAACAAAATAAGAAGACAAACCATTTTAAAACATGTGAAATGATGTTGAAGATCATATGTTTGATGTCAAGTTTTTCCAGTCTGAAGGGGCCTTAAACGTGAACGCTCTTTTGTCATAGCTCCTCCAAATCCAGAACTTGAAAGCATACCCTCAACACACATCATGTTGACAGTCCACCAGGGTAGTGAAGTGTATGTTGTGAAGGAAAACCAGCAGATGCTCAACATCAGTACTCAAATACAGTTTTAGTGGACTTGCTACAAAGCCAGAGGCTAGTCTAATATTAGAGGCCACCGGTACCATACAGGCTGAGCAGATGGAAATGACCCTACAACCATCTGGTTGTGTCAGAAACACACTTTTGTTAACTGGGTTTTAGAGTTTTGAAACTAGCAGGTGTGACCACTGCCCTGGATCACCCATCAGAGTCTCTAAAATTCCTGCAGGTTTATAGTATCAGTTCTTTTTGGTAAATTGATATCTTGCTAATTTGTTTGAAAATATTAACCATGTCCTGCATTAGGCCAATATGTCATCTTGTGCCCCTGGGCCTTGTGTCAAAATTTTATCAGCATATTTTGTTTGATGTGCTCACATGGTAAGTAGCCTATTCAGTATTCAGTCTACTGGTTTCTGGATATTTGAGCAGTATATAAGGACGTTGTTATGTATGAATGCTGTTATTCTAACTGATGAGAGGTTCAGTTACTAAACCTTTTTTTGTATGAGTCAATATGTCTATTTATCTAATATTAGACTACAGGGAATATGTTTTGCACAGCACAGCATACTACCAGTGCACAGCTTGTGCTACTGAGGTAAGGCAGATTGTCACTGATATGTTCCCTTCCCTCTCTAGTTGATGCTCAGTCAAATAAAATGTGGTGTTTGGAATTGAAATTGTCTTATGCTTCTGGTTCATATTAAAGAAAGTGTCAAAGGTTGGACGGCCACGCTGTCCTACAATGGGCCTCGATCGCCACTAGGGGCCGCTGGAGATCCACGAAGATGAGCAGAGCATCCACTACACTGACAAGGCTGAGATATTTTCAGTTCAGATTCACGAGGAACTAATCACGCACATAGGCTACGGGATACTCAGTAGGCCCATATTTTGCTCCACAATAAATTAGAGATAGACCCAGTATCTCAGAAAAGTCTTACAATAATTATGTCATCATCACTGACAGCAACTTTATCATAATTCTTTTCACTTTCCCAGACAGTTAATGTTGTGAAATAACTACATGCAAGGTGTAGTAGTATGTTTAGCGGAATCTTTGCTTAACTGGACTGAGAAACCTTTACTTTTAACAGATGCTACAATAATTGGTCAACATATGTTCACAGATAAAATAAAATCTTAATCCATAATTGATGAATAATCAAGGTTCCATTCAATCTATGGGAGCAACTTGCAGTGTGTCATCCTGCCTGTCTGTGTTTGTTTAAAGCTGCTAGATTGGAAAAGAGGGTCAAAAGACAACCAAATGTAAGTCGTGTGTAAATCCTGATCTTTTTTTTTCATGCAGCCTGCAGTGAATTGACTTTGACAATTACAATAACGGGATAATTGCAATCTGTCACCATACATTCTGTGTTAGCATATCACAAAATAACCAATCCCAGCCTTTCGCTCCACACACATGTCCCTGATCTGCATAACACACACAGCACACCGCTTTGTAATTATAAATGAATTTCACGGTGCGAGGCTTTTAATGCAAATAATATGGATTTTTTTTTCTTTCTGGCCAACAGGGCTGTGTGTGTGTGTGTGTGTGTGTGTGTGTGCTTGTGTGTGACATTGTGAGTGTGTAAGAGAGAGAGAGAGAGAGAGGGGGGATCAGATTGCGGCCAAGCTTTGTTTGACTAGCCTCCCCTCTCAAACGAGTTAATGGGATGGAAGTTATTTGCCACCCTGAGCTGACGATGCGAGGTCGAAGGCGTCAATAAATGTGCTGGAGACAAAGAACTAAAATACACTCGAGCGGGACAAAGACAGACAGATGGAGACGGCAGGGGTAGCCTCGGTCTCCGTGTGTGTGCGTGTGTGCGCGCGTGTCGTGGTCTGGTTGCTGACAGGGACCCCATCAGTGCAGGATCAGAGTGGGGAAATTGGAGGACAATATTGGAAGAGGGGTGCGGGGGATAATTTAAACCGATTGGGGAGGAGGTGTCCCAGAGGTGCATAATTCACTCATTCATTAACTAGACCAAACAAGAGCCAATATTAATTAACTCGTTCCTCGTGCCGAGGCGCCCCGAGAAGCGCGTGCTTTGTTGTCAATTGGCCACAACAGTTCTTGGAAGTGAAGCTTTAAAAAACAGATCTGACAGGCCAGAGGGTGAAGGAGTGTGTTAGACCCCCAGTCACTGTGTGCACTAGTGTAGATTTGAATGACTGTAAGATAATACATAGCTTAATCACTGAGTGAAATGTTACTTTCTACCAAGTACTGTAGGCCTACTTAAGTACAGCTTTGTGGTTTACTTCAGTATTCCTATTTTCTGCTACCTTATATTATATACTCCATTTCATTTCAAAAGCAAATATACTATTTACTCCACTATTTGGCAGCTACATGTAGGCTAGCCTACTCTGGAGATTTTAATTTTACATACAAAACACAAACAATAGACTACACCTTGCTGATTATACATCATCATCATCAACAACATCATCATAGGACTTGTAAAGGAGCCATCTGCATAAGAAGTACTTTTGAGTATTTTTACATTGTGGTATTACCATCTTTACTTCAGGAAAGGATCCGATTACTTCATACACTACTGCTATGATACTATAACGATGATGATATCATAGTCATTGGTGGAAAGTAACTCAGTATTTGCCCAAGTACCTTACAATTTTTAAATGTACTCAAGGCTGGATTACCAACCGGACAAAGGGTTCAACTGGTCCATGGCCCAAGTTCATTGTGTGGCAATTTGTGGTAATTTTATTAGAGATGAGTTACTCCAAAAAATGAGTCATAGGTCTGTAACATCATCAGTTTTAATA